CCCCCCTCGTCCCCGTAGCGACGCCCCAAAACCGCCCAAAGTTGGGGGGGCAGCCGGAACCCTGGGGGGGGGCGTGGGATGGCCACAGGTGACCTTTGACCCCCAAAAAATGCCTTCAACCCCCCCCAAAAATTCCCCAATTCCCCCCAAAAATCCCTGTTTCCACCCCAAATAATCGCGACCCGACCCCAAATCCTTCAAACCGCCCCAAATCTTCCCCCCAAAATATCCCTGACCCCCCCCCCCAAAAAAAAACCAGCCTGGACTCCCCAAAACCCAAAATCTTGGGGGGATTTTGGGGTTCCTGGAGGGTTTGGGGTAATTCCAGGGGGATTTTGGGGGTCCCATGGGAATTTGGGGTCACCCCAGGGGGATTTTGGGGATCTCAGGAGAATTTTGGGGTTCCAAGGATGACATTGGGAGTCCCAAGGGAATTTGGGGTCACCCCAGGGGAAATTTTGGGGATCCCAGAGGAATTTGGGGTCACCCTGGGGGAATTTTGGGGTTCCCAGAGGAATTTGGGGTCACCCTGGGGGAATTTTTGGGGTTCCCAGAGGAATTTGGGGTCACCCTGGGGGAATTTTGGGGTTCCCAGAGGAATTTGGGGTCACCCTGGGTGAATTTTTGGGGTTCCCAGGAGAATTTTGGGGTTTCAAGGATGACTTTGGGAGTCCCAGGGGAATTTAGGGTCACCCTGGGGGAATTTTGGGGTTCCCAGGAGAATTTTGGGGTTCCAAGGATGACTTTGGGAGTCCCAGGGGAATTTAGGGTCACCCTGGGTGAATTTTGGGGTTCCCAGAGGAATTTGGGGTCACCCTGGGGGAATTTTGGGGTTCCCAGAGGAATTTGGGGTCACCCTGGGGAAATTTTGGGGATCCCAGAGGAATTTGGGGTCACCCTGGGGGAATTTTGGGGATCCCAGGGGAATTTGGGGTCACCCGGGGAAATTTTGGGGTTCCCAGAGGAATTTGGGGTCACCCTGGGTGAATTTTGGGGTTCCCAGAAGAATTTGGGGTCACCCTGGGTGAATTTTGGGGTTCCCAGGGGAATTTGGGGTCACCCGGGGAAATTCTGGGGATCCCAGAGGAATTTGGGGTCACCCCAGGGGAATTTTTGGGGTTCCCAGAGGAATTTGGGGTCACCCTGGGTGAATTTTGGGGTTCCCAGAGGAATTTGGGGTCACCCCGGGAGGCTGATTTTGGCAATCCCTGATGATTTTGCTGCCACCCCTCATTAATTCCAACCCTCACCCCTAAAAAACCCCCCAAAACTCCCCCATTTCCATTTCCTGCACCCCGAAACCTCTTCCCGCCAGCCCCCCCAAATTCCTTCCCCCCAAAAAAACCCCAAAATCCCCCAAAATCCCCCCAAAAATCCCCAACCTGCGGCCTCGAAGGCCCCCGGCAGCTCCTGGGGCCCGATGGTGCCCGAGCGATCGCTGTCGAATTGTTTGTACACGCACTGGGGGTGTACAAATTTTGGGCACCAATTTTGGGGGGTCCCGCACCCCCAAAATCCGCCTCACCCCCTCCCCAAAACTCGGGGACCTTCCCAAACCCCAAAATTCCTCCCCCCACCCCTCCCAAACCCCCAAAATCCTCCCCCCATCCCCCTTTAAAGGACTTAAAAAATCCTCAATTCCAAATTTTAGGGGTGCCCGCCCCCCTAATTATCTAATTACCCCACCCCCCCAAAAAAATTTTGGGGTGTTTGGGGGGTCCCCTACAACCCCCCCTCATGGTTTTTAGGGGGGCTGGGATTTAAGAGGGGAAATTTTGGGGTCCCACCCCCCTGTTTTTTGGGTTCCTCCCTCGATTTTGGGGTGTCCCTGATTCTGGGCTCCCACATCGATTAATTTTTGGGGGGGGTCACATTTTTTGGGGTGTCCCCCTACTTTTTGGGTCTCCTCCTAATTTTGGGATCTTCCCCAGCTCGGAGTAACCCTGGATTTTGGGATGCCCACCCCAGTTTTGGGGCCCCCATCCCCATTTTTGGGGTGCCCCCCCCCCCCAGTTTTGGATTTTCCTCGATTTTGGGGCTCGTTTATTTTAGGATCCCCCCAAATTTTGCCTTCTCCCTCCATTTTGGGGTCTCTTTTCACCCTGAGCACCCCAATTTCGGGATCCCGTCCAAATTCGGCCTCCCACCCCATATTTTTGGGGTCCCCCCACCCCGATTTCGGGACCTCCCCAAAAAAATTTTGGGGTCCTCACCTGCCACTTCTTGATGTTGTTCCAGAGGTACTTGAACTCTTCAAACCCCAATTTCCCGGTGGTGTCGCTCTGGGGGGGCTCGTCAAGGACATTTTGGGGGGCACCGGGGACCCCCCCCCATTTCCCCGCACCCCAAAACCTCTGGAGGATCCCCCAAAATCCCCCCAAAGGTGTCGCTCTGGGGGGGCTCGTCAAGGACATTTTGGGGGGCACCGGGGACCCCCCCCCATTTCCCCGCACCCCAAAACCTCTGGAGGATCCCCCAAAATCCCCCCAAAATCCCCCCAAAATCCCCCCAAAATCCCGGGGTACGTCCATGACGGCCACCATGCTCCGGCACGTGTCCAGCCCGAAGCCGTCGGTCTTCAGGTCGGGATCTGGGGGGACCACGGGGGATTTTGGGGGGGCCCCGAGTCCTGGAGCCCAGCAGGGAGCCCCGAGGGCACCCCAAAATCCCCCCCGAGCCCCGAGGACACCCCAAAATCCCCCCCGAGCCCCCGGGGGTTTTTGGGGGGCACTCACGGCGGGTGACGACCCTGTTGAGGATGTTCATCAGCTCGGTGGGGCTCACCTCCATGTCCTGGGGGGAACGGGGGGTCAGGGGGGGCTGGGGAGCCCCAAAATCTTGGGGGAACACCCGAAATCCTGGGGGAGCCCCTGAAATCCTGGGGGAACCCCCGAAATCTTGGGGGAGCCCCCAAAATCCTGACCCCGAATCCTGGGGGAACCCCCAGACCCTGATCCCCCTAAAGTCTGAAGACTCCCAAATCCTGACCTCCAAAAACCCCAAAATCCTGACCCCAAATCCTGACCCGTCTCCGCAAAGTCTGGGGACCCCCAAATCCTGACCCCGAATCCTGGGGGTACCCCCAAATCCTGACCCCGAATCTTGGGGGACCCCCAAACCTTGGGGGTTCCCCCAAATCCTGACCCCAACCAAGAGGTTTCAAGGGATCAGGTGGATCCCAGTGTACCCCAGTACACCCC